TTCCGCTGGATCTTCAACTAGCGCTAAAACCTCACAAAACAAAGAAAGAAAACTGCAGCTGGACTTATCAACACGACAGGCAAAGCAGGGAGCAAATGCTGGGAACAAAAGAAAAAAGGGTAAACGGATATTTACCTCTGAGTCAGAGATTCAGAAAGAAAGAGAGAGGATAGAACAGGACCATAACATCAACCTCAAAAAAATTGAAGACCGTTCGTCAATGACTCAAGATGCCGCTGCCAATGATTTGGGAGGTATCATAAACTCTTTCCAAAACTCTTCTGCTTGTATCTTTCTTCTTTCTTTAAGAACAGTACGCATGAAGCAAATGATCCATATAAATGATACTAACTACTTGGACTAAGGTTTAGTTATTGTTGTTATATTTATATAAGGTCCTCAGTCCTCACAACCCAAACTCTAAGCGTGAGTCAGCTTGCCCGCCCACAATATATCCACATCCATTAATCTGTCTCATAGCGCTAGTATGGACCAAGGATTAACATAAGCAAATTAAACACCTAATGTAGTCCTAAATCTGTAATAGATTCCATGAAGCATATTCTAGAGAGTCATTACAACTGTCTAGCTTAGTTCTTGCTGAGGACAAAAAAGGAAAGCATATCTATGCATAAAACAATAAGTGGGGCTCACCAATGAAACACTCCGTCTCTACTTCAGCACCTATACAACTCATTACAATATCAAGTTCACAACATGTTCCAAGTCATTATTAAGATATGCTCGAGGGGCCCGAGTATTACACCATGTTTGCGAAGAGTCCTTTTAATCTAGTTAGAAGCTCCTATGTCATTTCAAGGTAAAGTGTAAGATCTAAAGAGATTCTAGATTAGAGTACCCGAAATTTGTCTTAAAAAGTAAATTGTTCACCAGTAATTGGAATGAAATGGACCCAAATTGAGTGAATGGATACGGAGGATTCACCTAGCGGTCTCTAACTAGCTAGTATTGGGACGTAGTTGATCGATTGAATAATTGATATGATTTCTTTATCTTCTCCTTTCCTTTAGTCCAAATCATATGTGTGTATTGTAGTTTAAGATTCACTGAAGACATTTTTGTACCTGGGATTATTCTAATGCAGTTGGCAAATCAACACTGAAGCGTATATGTAGATTATACGGTATAACTAGATGGCCACCCAAGAATAAGGAGAAGAAAACAAAATGCTCCCACTCTCGTAAAATGAAATCAATCCTCCCTGCTGAGGAAGATGTCAATGCTAGAACAAAATTCCAGCAATCTTCTGATTCCCCTAACAAGGAAGACACAATTAATGGAGCTAAAGTTGGAGCACATGTTACAGAAATCCTAGATGGTACAGCTGTGATTACAAAGGTAAATTATGGAGATAGGATGCTAAAATTGAAGCTAACTAGTTCTTCTAAGATGAAGGATTTAGAAGAGGAAGTGGTAAAGAGGGTCGAGTCATCGATCGAAAGTTTTGATTTCACGTATGTAGATAAAGAGGGTGATACGATATTGATAAAATGTGATGAGGATTTGACGGAATGTTTTCTGCATTCTAGATCTTCAGAAAGCGCGACTGTTAAGATGTCCATCACCCCAAAGTCTTAAATTATGCAAGTCTTTCTTTCTTTCTTTCTAGTATATGTAGTTGGTTATCTTTTGAATACTTTTCTCTCAAAATGAAGTTGGTAGTTCTTTTCTATGTTGCGCGGACCCTCCATAATATTGTCGAACCTGCATCGGACCCTCCAAAAATGCACTACTTTTGGAAGATCCGATACTTTTGGATATTTCGCTCTCTTTAAGGATTTAATCTCATTCTATCCTCTCCACCTTTTGAATGAGAATGACCACCTCCTTGTGCAATATTTTGTAATGAAACTTTTTAATACAAAAAAGGAAGTGTTATTGTTTTTTTTTTTTTTTTAAAGAGTTCTTCTAATCTTTTCAACGGCAAATTACGAAAGAGCAACTTAGAGCCTTGGAAAAGTTTGCAATTTTGAACCATATCTCATCAGTGTATTGAGATAGCATTGAACTCATTTTTCAAGAAATATGTTTTCATCGTATATATATTATACTAAAAGTGGGAAGCAAAAAGTGTCAAACTTGAATTACTAAAATGCCCACATAAAATAAAATTAATGAGCTATTTTGCCCTTGAAAACTAAATAGCTATTCTGCATAATAAAAATACAAAAATGTAAATTGATGTTAACTATTCTGGTTTTTGGAATTCACATATTTTAATGTAGCAATTAAAAGTACCATTTCAAAGCATGAAGTACAAGGGAATCGAAGGGGTAGAGGCAAATGCCTTATCATACTATCTTAAGAATTTGAACAGATACACGCAAAGTTCAAAGAACCTGAAGGTCCTAAACCTAACAGCAAATGAAGAGACAAAATTAGTTTTTTATGTAGGTACATTATAATTTTATCTCTTTTATGTTGATTAAATTTATAAAATGATTGTTTTTGAATTAAATTTGTTGTTCACAACTCATACATCTCTGTCGCTAACAAACAGCTAGGATATAGTACAAAGTTACTCGGTGAACTTCAATAATATTTGAAGTAGTTCAATCTGGCACATGTGGACTTCTATGAAGTATTATGATTTCTTCTTTACCAAGTTAACAATATTAAAAAATTATATTCATGAACTTGAATTTTTTTCTTTAATTTCATTTTATAACTCAGATATATTTTTAAATAATACTAATGTAATTTTGAAAAAGAATATTATACTAATTGATATAGGACTCACGCGCAATGCGCGTATCCAGAAACTTGTATGTATAAAAGACGCCACAAGCATTTTATATAGTAGTGAAAATTAGTGTGACTTGGATTAAAAAAAGCGGAAAATTTATAAATAGCTATTTTTACGCCTGGTCAATCATATTTAGCCACATAATCAAAAGTCAACCTTATTTAGCCAGTAATTTTGTACGGAAAAGTATTATTGACTAAATTACCCCTACTCTATTTATAAATTTATGCAACACGATCTCACACTCTGTTTGAGCAGAATCTTGCGTCGTAATCTACATATTGAAGTAAGCTCCCAATTATTCTTCTGATTCTTCGAATTTTCTGGTTTTATCTCAACGCTTTAATCTGTGCTAATCTCGAATTTTCTCAATGCGTTAATATGTGCTTAACTGTATAATATATCTTCTTATTTGTAATTCAGATCGTAACTAATAAAATCTGCATTGTTCTGATATTATTATAAATTTTATATGAAAAATGTTTATTCTGTGCTTAATTGTGTGTGTGTGTATATATATATATATATATATATATATATATATATATATATATGTGTGTGTGTGTGTGTGTGTGTGTGTGTGTGTAATTTAATTTCAAGTAATTTATGTTGTTCTTTAAAAAATACACAGTAAAAGTTATAGCAAATGAATTAATTGCAGAACAAAACATCTAGTATAATATACTGGACCTTTCTGAATAGATATACTAAACTTTTAAGATTCACCTACTATTCTGAATAAAAAAATGGAATTTTGTTATTAGATATGTCAAAACTACACAGTCTCCAGCATATAGTATTGGAGGTATCTTTGATTCAAACTACTACAAAAAATTATGCATAGATTATACTGGAAGTATGTGTGATTACACATCTAAAAATTTTAAGGTTCGACTAATGCTAAATGTTATAGTACTTGAGGTATCTTTAATTCAAAACCACAAAAATAACATAAAACCGTGCAGAACAAAACGCCAGTATAATATGTTGGACTTTTCTTAATTAATATCTAAAACTTAGAAACTTCTAGGTGATTATATTGGAAGTATCTGTGATTCAAATAAGAAGAGCACATCTAACTTTCCGGTTGGTAGTGGAAATTTTGATATCGGGGTCGGAATGGAATTTCGAAAGTTGGAATAGATCTGTTGTGTCATTTGTGATGTGGGTGCAAAATTTCAGATCATTCGGAGGTGGCTTGGTAGACTTTTTGATCATTTGCGGACTTTGGAAGTTTTGGAATCCTTAGGATTGAATCCGAGGGCGATTTGGTGTTTCGACGTTGTTTTGAGTGTTCAGAAGATTGATATTGGTTTGAATAGTGATATATGACTTGCTTGTACTTTTGGTTGCGGTCCCGGGGGCCTCGGGATGATTTCGGATGGTTAATGGAAAGTTTGGAAATTAGTTTGAGCAGCTGAAACTGCTGAGATTTTGTCATAATCACACCTGCAGTTAGGGGACTGCAAGTGTGATGACCGCAGAAACGAGATCGAGCCGCAGATGCGGCCACAGGTGAAGATGGCAGAAGCCACAGATGCGGAGAGTGGAGCGCACCTGCGAAGGCACAGGTGCGGATATTTGAGCACAAGTGCGAGTTTGGGCGGATAAGTGGTTTTTGCAGGTACGCACCTGGGACCGTAGATACGGGTCCGCAGGTGCAACTAATTGACCGCAGATGCGGTATCGCTGGGCAGAACATATAAATAGATGCTTTCGCAAATTTTTGCTAAGTTTCTCCATTTTTGAAGAAGGGAAGAGAGATATGGCAGTGGTTTTTCAAGAAAATCGAAGGGTTTCAGTTGGGTAAGCTTCTTAAGCCTTATTACTTGTGTTTATGGCCATTTTCCATTGTTTAATCATGGTATTAGTGAAAAATTAAGGAAGAAAGTTGGGAGATTAGGGCTTGGAATTCGAGACTTTGATTAGGGATTTGAGGGGTCATTTGTGGTCGGATTTTGGTGTATTTGGTATGTATGAACTCGTGAGAGTGTAAGGATTCTAGTTTTGTAAATTTTATCAGAATCCCAGACGTGGGCCTGAGGGTCGAGTTGGACCAATTTCGGGATTTGTGATGTAATTTGATTATTTTCGCGTGGGCTTTATTCCCTGAGCATATATTGATGTTATGGATCTGATCTTTGGTTATATTCGGGGCATTTGAAGGCCGAATCGAGAGGAAAGGGCGTCGCGGGCTAGAGTTTGGCTTGGCTTGAGGTAAGTAACGCTTCCAAACTTGATTCTGAGGGTTCGAAACCCCAAACTATGCGTTCTATGATCACTATTGAGGTGATGAAAATGCCATGTGACGGGCGTGTGGGAGTGCACCATGAGAAATACGGCCTGGATCATTCCGGAGTACTGTTTATGACTCTTTCTTTCTGATATTTGTGTTGTACTTATGTGATTAAGTTAATGAGCTGCAAATCATGATAATTATCATGTTAAGGCTTCACGCCAATACTGTTGAGACCCGGGAGGTCGTTTCTTGCTGTCATATCATTAGCTTTATTGATATTTTATACTCAGTCTTGTTCATGCATATTATATCATGCCTCAGTCTCAATTATTGCTATTTGACATATCATATCATATCATATCATATCATATCATTGTTCGGGCTAGTATCATGAATTTGAGCCCGTGTGTGAGACTGGAGAGTAATAACTGAGTGAGGCCGAGAGCCTAATATTGAGTGACAGTATGGGATCAGGCTGCACGCCGTAGCGAGATATTGAACATGCCTTTGTTGGCTTGTTATAGCGCTTGGGCTCAAAGAAGCCTCTCCGGAGTCTTTACACCCCAGTGAGCGCAGATGATGATATTGAGGGATGGATCTTCCCTGGACATGGATCTTGTCCGAAGTATTGATATCTGGAGATGGATCTTCTCCATAGGGCTGGAATGGCCTTCCTCGGTACTGGATGACTACGATCAGTGATGAATATATATTCCATATGAGGAGCCTCTACCCTGACATCCATCACGAAACCCTAACTAAGAAAGGCAATCATTCCCAGCCGTCCGCTGGGTCTTCGAGATATAAAACCACTCTACTAGGATATAATTCGTCGAAAATCGCCACCCAATCCGTGGCATTTCCAGCATGGCCAACAGCGCTGCCTTAGCGCAATAGTCCAGAATGACATAACACGGAGACAACCAGTCTAAACACAATATCACATCCAAAATCTAACATACAAAGCACAAAAAATCCTCTCGGATCTCCAAACCCTGATAGTTACTAAACAGTGCCGATACACGAGACCCACAACCATAATATAGCCTAAACATGAGAACTCCTAGTCTCCAACTCCATATAGCACACGAATCACCATACCTGATTCCAAATCCCGCCGTCCGAAATACAGACCACACTCAAATACCCAATCATTCCACGAAAGATACTCTAAAATTCCCCTATGCCACCAAACAAACTCGAATATCAACAGTCGATCTAACAAGAAAGCGTCGCAATACTACCGAAGTAACATCAACTTCATCGCATTGCCTCTTTTGAAACATATTCCCTCGTCAAATCACTCCAATTAGCAATACCTTTTCCTTAATCATCTGAAGATCATCCCCCTAATCATCTGAAATCATTCTTCTAATCATCTGAAACTGCCCGCTGCCTCAGGATCTTATGATCTTCCTTTCAGAATTGAACCAAGACCTTACACATGCAAATCTCAGTCCTACACAACATACCACATATATCATACCATTCTATGATAACTATGAGAACTTCATATCTATTTCAAACCACAAGCAACTACACACTCGACCAACCAAGAACTTCCATTTGCCCCCATTCAAAAGAGAATCACTACACATCCCATGCTTCTCACACTTGCAGAAAATACGCATCTCTAATCGCAGTAGAAATCATCAAGAACTCTTCAACTCCCTTTTGCACGAAAA